GCGCGAAAAGTGGTCCGGCCCGTTTCGCCTGAGACATCCTCCAAACTCTGAGCTCTGAGATGCTGCGCGCGAGGTGGTCTGGCGCGTTTCGCCTGAGACATCCTCCAAACTCTGAGCCCCGAGATGCCGCGCAAGAGGTGGTCCAGCCCATTTCTCCAGAGACATCCTCGCAACTCTGAGCTCTGAGCTGCCGTGCGCGAGGTTGTCTGCAACCTGAGCTCTGAGCTACCGTGCAGTTGAGCAATATGAATACCAAGAACCATTCCGAATACAGTGTTAACTATTTCGGGAAAAATACATTAGTTGTGATCATTTTCGAAATAGTTCTGAACAACTCAAATGTAAATTGTCAAACTTATGAAAAAAAGGTCATGCAATTTTCTATCACATCTTAGTTTTTAGGTTAACACTTCTTAAGGATTTGAATTCCCTGATGCCGCGCACAAGGTGGTCTGGCCCTTTCGCCTGAGACATCCTCGCAACTCTGAGCTCTGAGATGCCCTGCGCGAGGTGGTCAAGCCCGTCTCGCCTGAGACATTCTCGCAACTCTGCGCTCTCTGATGCCGCGCCAGAGGCGGTCCAGCCCATTTCGCTTGAGACATCCTCCAAACTCTGAGCCCCGAGATGCCGCCCAAGAGGTGGTCTGGCCCGTTTCACTTGAGACATCCTCGCACTTTTGCATTCCGAGATGCCGCGCGAGAGGTGGTCCGGCCCGCTTCGTCTGAGACGTCCTCCAAACTCTGAACTCTGAGATGCCGCGCGCAAGGTGGTCTGGCCCGTTTCGCCTAAGAAATTCTTCAAACTCTGAGCTCTGAGCTGCCGCGCAAGAGGTGGTCCAGCCCATTTTAGCTGAGACATCCTCGCAACTCTGAGCTCTGAGCTGCCGCGCAAGAGGTGGTCTAGCCCGTTTGGCCTGAGACATCCTCGCAACTGTGAGCTCCCAAATGCCCTGCGCGAGGTGGTCCGGCCCGTCCCGCCTGAGACATCCTCGCAACTCTGAGCTCTGAGATGACGTGCGCAATCTCGCACTCTGAGCTCCCAAATGCCGCGCAAGAGGTGGTCCAGCCTGGGGGCCCAGAAGACCACATGCTACATATCCCCCCTGGGACCCTGGGAGCCCCAGGAGGCCCCAGAGAGCTTTAGGCCGCAGGACGCCCAGGACAGGCCCCAGGGGTCCCCAGGAGATTCCCAGGAGGCTCCCAGGAGGCCCCAGGAGGACCCCTATCAGAACGTGTCAAGTTAATACACATCCGGTGTCGATTCGTTGAACATGTTCGATATCCCCCCTGGTAGCCCCAAGAGGCTTCAGGAAGCCCCAGGTGGGGTCCAGGCGGCCACAGGAGGCCCAGGAGGAAGCCCCAGGAGGTCCCCAAGAGGCCCCAGGAGGCCCCAGGAGGCCCCCGCAACTCGGAGTTCTGAGATGCCGCGCTCGAGGTGGTCTGACCCGTTTTGCCTGAGACTTCCTCGCGGCACGTTTCGCCCGAGACATCGTCGCAACTCTGGGGTCCGAGATGCCGCGCGCGAGGTGGTCCAGCCCGTTACGCCAACTCTGGGCTCCGAGATGCCGTTCGGGATGAAGAGGAGGTGGAGGAGGAGGAGGAGGAGCAGGAGGAGGAGATGGAAGAGAGAGGGAAGAGCTTGATGTGGATGAGGGAGCAGGCAGGAGGGGGAGGAGGAGGAGGAGGAGGAGGAGGAGGAGGAGGAGGGAGAAGGAAGGGAGTTGCAGGAGAGCACCTAACGGGAAGCGAGTGTGACGTGGACTTGTGTCACAGCAGTTTTCGTGTAAACAAGTTTTTGTGCAAACATCCCATGTGCAAGCATCATGCTATCATGTCCTAGCATGCCATGCCAGCCGGCAGCGGGCACGCAATCTACCTTGGAAACCGCAGTGGATTGAAAAACCCTGTCTAGAGGATATTGCACTCCGGCTATAATTACATGTCCAGGCCAACCAATAGGGCATCTAATTCGGGCCTCCTGTGGCTTTCCTGAGGCCCGGAAAAGATCGCCGAGAATTCAATTGCATCTGGTATCGATTCATTGACTTTTTGGCCCCGGGCGCATTCCTGGGCCATCCTGAGCTCCAGACGACCGTCGATATCCTCCCTGGGTGGCCTGGAACCATGTGTTTTCACGTCTCCAGGCCTCACAAGGGGGGTATCCAACATGGCGTTCCCGAGCTGTGGAACTAGGTCGTTTCACGTGTCCAGGGCACTCACGTGGATATCTGACATGGTGGTGCCGAGCTGGTACCACGTGTTCTCACGTGTCCAGGCCACCCAGGGGGGTATCTAACACTGTGGTCACGCTGGGGAACCCTCTGCCGCCCCCAAGAGGCCCCAGGAGGCACCAGTCGGACGGCTCGAGGGTGAGGAGGGAGGAGGAGCAAGAAGATGATGAGGAAAACCAGAAGCATGAGGAGATGGAGGAGGAGGGGTATGAGGAGGGGGAGGGGGAAGATGACGATGCGGATAAGGAAGCGAGGAGGAGGAAATCGGGAGGATGAGCATGAGAAAGATGATGAGGATGATGACGATGATGATGATGATGATGATGATGATGATGATGATGATGATGGTGATGATGACGATGATGATGATGACAACGATGATGATGATAATGATGATGATGATGAGGAGGAGGAGGAGGAGCAGGAGGAGGAGGAAGAGGGGGAGGCGGAGGAGGAGAGGTAGGGAGGGAGTGGGGGGAGGAGGGGAGGCAGGGGAGGGAGGGAGGGGAGGTAGGGGCGACGAGTCTTCCTGGAGCGTCCCGGCCGGGCGCCCTGCCAGCGCAATCGCCGCGGTGGCGGCATGCGGGCAGGCAGCTCGAGCTTAAGATCCAAATCAGTTCGGTCGGGGTTCTGATGCCAAGGACGGCTGAAGTGAGGAAGATGAGTTGGAGGAATAGCCGGAGGAGGAGGAGGAGGAAACAGAGCGTGAGGAATACGAGACGTAGCAGAAGCAGGAGGAGAGGGAGGGGGAGGATGCGGGTAAAGAGGAGGAGGAGGACGAGGAGGAGGAATAGTATGAGGCGAAGGATGATGAAGAGGAGGGGTCAACGTCTTTGGCCTCTTCGAGCCCAGGGACACTCGGGAATCGATCCTGGGTGAAAACTTCGGTCGGGCTGACCCTGGAAGGGATCTCGGAACCGATCGAAAGCTCCACTCATGCGTTCAAACAGCTCGAGCTCGAGGACTCGATCCACAACGCTATAGAGCACAATCGCGGAATGGCCCATCGCAATTCAGCACGGCGCAGCACAGCACAGCCCTCGGCACGGTACATCAAGACCGATACACTCAACATTGCAACCTGGCACGTTCTTTGACACGTTCCGTTGCGCGTCCCGTGGCGAGTTCCCCTGGTACGTCGCGCGGCGCGTCCCCTGGCACGTCCCGTGGCGCGTCCATTGGCACGTTCCGTAGCGCGTCCCCTTGGCACGTCCCGCGGTGCGTCCCCATGGCACGTCCCCTGGCACGTCGCCTGGCGCGTCCCTTGGGACGTTCCGCGGCGTGTCCTCCTGGCATGTCCCCCTATCAATTAGCTCTGGGGCTACTCTGTGCCAAGGCAGCTCGAGCATAAGATCCAGATCAGTTCGGTCAGGACTCGGATGCAAAGGAGGACTCGATCCACAACGCTATAGAGCACAATCGCGGCATGGCCCATCGCAATTCAGCACGGCGCAGCACAGCACAGCCCTCGGCACGGTACCTCGAGACTGATACACTCAGCATTGCATTTGCCCGTCGGAAAATCAAATGTCTTTGAAGCGTTGCCACGCCTTACATTCCCACACTCCTTTCCGGGTTCATGGGCCGATCATGTTTTAGATGAACTTGTTCGGTGCCCCCATGGCTTGGATCCGTTCCTGGATGGCTTGATCCGAAATATCGCATCGTTCACCGACGCCTGGCCCGTGCCTTCCAGGGGGTGCACAATCTATGCTTCCGCTTGGGCGGCGGAGGCGGGTAGGGGCAAAGCATGTTTCAGTTTCTAGACCTACAAACTGTTCCTGGGCGAGGGCCATGTGAACTTTCTCCGCTGCTTCCTTTTGCAAGCCCTGTAAACTTGATTTGGCCGATGTGTTGTGCGTGCTGGCCATGTAAATTTGTCCGGGCCCCTGTCCGAAGGACCCCGAGGGCGTTTCCTGATCGGGATGGGGCGGGGGCGACGTCCTGGGACAAGGAGCGAGGGGGCTGTGCGATCGTTGCCCACGGATCTTCTGGCCACGCTCCACCCCCCTAGAACTCGGGCGGAAGACCCGCTGCGCGAAGGAATGAAGGCCGCGCCGAGGGAAGGCGGAACGAAAAATGGAGGGGAAGGGCGAAGGGTCATTTCCCCCACAATGTTTTACCTTTGTGTGCTTTCATCCTCATCATCATCAGCATCAACATGAGACCATCACCATTACCATCATCATCATGATCATCAGCATCACCATCATTATCATCGTCATCATCAACATCATCATCATCATCATCATCATCATCATCATCATCATCATCATCATCATAATCAGAATCAGTATCATCAACATCATCATCGCCATAAGCAGCATCTGCATCTGCATTAGCATCCGCATCATCATTAGCAGCATAATCAGCTTCAGCAGCAACAGTCTCAGCATCATCATAAGCACCACCATCATCATCATCATCATCATCATCATCATCATCATCATCATCATCACCGTCAACATCAGCATCATAAACAACATCAGCATCATCATCGTCATCGTCATCATCATGACCATCATCATCACCATCACCATCACCATCACCATCACCATCACCATCATCATCATCACCATCACCATCACCATCACCATCATCATCATCATCATCATCAGCATCATCATCATCATCATCATCATCATCATCATCATCATCATCATCATCATCATCATCATCATCATCATCATCATCATCATCATCATCATCCGTAGCCATTTTGGCTCAAGCCTTCGGGCCAACCTCCATCGGGCGGCTGGTGCGTGTTGTGATGGCGCGGAAGGCGGCCCCCTCGCGGGAAGCTCCCGCTGGCGGCGATGTGTGCAGCCCGTGTGCGGCACGGCGGCAGAGGCGCCGAGCTGGCCAGGCGTGGGCCCGTTGGTCGGGGGACGTGCTCGTTCACGACCTGCAGCGGGCGGTGCGCTTGTGGCGGAGCCGCTACGAGAAGTTGGTGAAGTCGCTGGAGGACCCCGGCACGGCGGAACGCCTGGCGGTGGTGGCGGTGCACCTGAAGGACATGGTGCACGGCAAGACCATCGAGTCGCCCGTTGACACGCTGCGGAGGCACGTTGCGCTCCACGCGGCGTCGGACGGCGTGCTCGCTACGTCGAGCCCAGAAGTGGCCCAAGCTTGTGGCGCGCCACGCGCTGTCGGCGGCTGGCCTCGCCGCAGGCGGGGTAAACATCCCCAGCTCGGGCAGACCTGCTGAGGGCGGCGCCGCGCCCGCGCGGAAATTGGCCGAGTCCCCGCCCGACACGGCCATCCCCCGCGCGGGCGCGGGCGTGGCTTCCGCGGAAGCTGCCAGGGCCGCCGGGGCCGACGCGGTGCACGACGGCGAGATCGGGACGGAGCTGGACGGCCACGACCCCCTGCTAGCGGTGCCGCCATTCCCCTTGCTCGTTAAGGAGCTCAGCGATCATGGCACGATCGCGACGCACGAGCTCGCGGTGAAGCAGGGCGTGGCTGGCATGCAGTGGCAGTTGCGAGAAGGAGCTGGTGGTGAAGCGGAGCCCACACGTGATCAGCGACAGCTCGGAAATCAGCGCGGCACCAAAATGGCGATGTCAAACGCCTGTGCTGAGATCGCCACGGAGTGGCTGGCGGGCGGCCCCCATAGCAGGCGGCCCGAGGAGGCGCTCGTGGGCACGATCGAGCACGAGGAGGAGCACGGCGTGGAGGCGATGCACAAGGGGCAACTCCTGGCGGCGGCGGCGGCGGCTGCGGAGGCGGACAACGACTCCGCCACGCAACCTCCTCTGCCAACTTGCGTGGTGGACTTCTGGGAGCGCCTGGAGAATGCCACGAAGGGCATCGAGACCACCATGAAGTGGGATGGTACCCGCGCGGCCAAGCGCGGCATGACCATGTACCAAATCTCACAACTGGAGGCCATCTACGGGGAGGCCAAGCGGGTGTTGGACGGCTCCGACGACGGGGACGACGATGAGGCCGAGCTGGAGCGCTTCGAGGTTCAGAAAGCGCTCGAGTCTGCTTGGCTGCACATCGACACGCTGGAGAGCGAGGGGCCTGTCCAGGCGCCGCCGTGGGGCTGGCGCATCGCTGCCATTTCACATCGCAGTTCGGGGTGCGTCTGCATGGAAACCCTGGGGAGGGGGCCCGACGACCCCTAGTAGTGTTGCGCAGTTGAGCTTAGGGTGGCTCTGTCCTCGCCTGTGCACCGGGCGCGCGCGCCCGTGGGAGGGGCCAGCCCTAGGTGCAGGGAGGCGCACGGTGGCGTCTGCAGGAGTTGAGGGCGAGCGCGACACTGCGCCGCCCCTCCTTGAGAGAACGTGATCATCATCTTCTTCTTCTTCATCATCATCATCACAACCACCAGCATCATCATCAGCAGCAGTATTGTCATCATCATCATCATCATCATCATCATCATCATCATCATCATCATCATCATCATCATAATTTTCATCATCGTCATGATCATGCTCATCATCATCAGCATAATCACCATCATCATCAGCATCCTCATCCTAATCATCATCATCATGATCATGCTCATCATCATCATCATCGACATCAGAATGGTGGATATGTATCGCGATCACCACCGTCATCGTCATCATCACTACCGTCGTTATCACCATCATAGTTGTCGACGTCGCCCTTTTCGTCGCCACCGTCTTCACAACCATCATCATCATCATCAACATCATCATCACCGTCCTCATCTCCGCTGTCGCAGGTGTAGTCGTCACCATCATCACTCAGCCACCTAAATCATGGCTCAGCATGAAGTGTCATCGCGTTATTGCGAAAACTGAATTTTGCCAGCAAGTCGGTGGTGGGGGAATGGGTGCTTTGCTCATGCGGCAGAACTGACGACTCCGCGCTCCTCAAACATTCGCGACGAAACATACACTCCCCAGTCTGAAGAACCCTAGTTGCCCCCCCCACCCCATCCGACCCCTCGATTTCAACAATGAACAGACCCCTGCGCGGACTGCGGCTCGATATAACTGTTTGCACAACATGAACACAGCCGGTCTGTTGCAACAGACAAAAGAAACTCCACAAGCGCGTGCACACGTAGAGATCAGAACAAACAAACTGGCTCTTCAAACCATTCAACCGAAAAAGTTGAACACCAATGGTTGTTCCATCAAAGCCATGATGATTCTCCGTCCGCACACACTCGATAAAATAATACGAGAACCATCGGCGTTCAAGAGTCCCGTCCACAGACCGCATTCTCATCTCACCACGCGGGGCATCCAAATGCACTTAGCACTCGCCCGGTGCACGAACCCGTGCCACCTGATACAACGCGCCACATGCGCACGCCGCCACGCGCACGTGCCAGAACCCTGCCAAAACCGAGCGCCTTCGAAGCATGTTAACAGAGAGCTCTTCAAACCATGCGGCAAACAACATTCAAGCCCAAAGATCCCGGATTGTTTGCGTTTCTGCGCGCGCTCTCCCTCATCACCCTCGCAAACACCATCGCATTACCACCGTCATCGTTACCGTCCATCGCCTCAATTGCCGCCACCATCATACCAATCACACCTATGACCGACATATGGACCTCATCATCGTCATCATCGTCGCAACCAGCATCGGCGCCGCCGTTGGCCTTGTCGTCGTCGCCGTAACCATCGCCACCACAATCGCTCTTACCTCGGGGATCTTCTGACCCGGGTCAGTCCAGACCTGGGTCAGCAGGAAACCAAAAACTGCAATGCAGGAAAAAAAACTGCAACGCAGGTCCTCGCAAACCCGGGTCAGCCAATATGCAAGGCCGCCTCGCGGCCACGAGCGGCTCGCAAACCCGGGTCAGCCAGAGGGCGCCTTCGCAGGATCCTGCAGGATCCGGCGCCCTGGCTGACCCCCGTTTGCACTGACCCCCGTCTCGAGGCTCCCGATTACCATCATCGTTTCCACCGTTTCCGGCGTCAACATGATCTCACACCCGCACGAGCGACCGATCCGTACTGAAGTGCCCACGCGCCAACGCGGTCTTTGAAACAGGCTGGGAGGCTCACATGTGAGCGACATCGCGGCCGCATCGGCTGCGCCATACAAACTGGTCGCTCTGCGCGCGAACGTGCGCGCACCAGCGCGGCCGTAGAGACGCACTAGCAAGCTGCAACCAGAAAACAACATCGTGGCCAAATGGGTTTTGCCGAACACATTGCGGGTGGGAGGGTGGGTTGTTTGCGCAAACATTCGAGTTGACGACCGACTTCGAATTCTTCAACGAGGGCTCCGCTTCCAAAAAGAGGGAAGAATAGACTCGACCACCTCCCCAAGCCCAGACATATCCGCATCCCGCTTGGTACTGCAAACTACTTCTGGTTATGGCTCATCATGGCATCATGCCATCCCTGCCCACCTGCTATCACCCCCCTCACCCCTGTCAAGTAGTACTGTGCGCGCACACTTGTTGATCGCTTGAACCCATTGCTCAAAAGTCACTTGCAAACCAACGCAAAAAGCCAACACGCGCGAGCGCACAAATCAACAAAATACAAATCGGACTACAGTCGGACTTGATTGGAGAGGACACGCGAGAGGACACATGACTCTTCCGACGGCAACCTGGCCCCAAAACGCGGCCCAAAAATGCGGATTGCATATGTCAGGATAGACAAGACACAAGGGCACCCTCGATTTGGCATGGTCGACCTACTAATTAAGCTCGACTGTAGTTTTGCAACTGAAGCATTGCACACCAGTTTCTTTTCCAACATCCTGAATGTGACTCTTGCTTTCACACCATACCTTCTCCCTCTCTTCCTCCCCCTCATCCTCACGCAAGCTTCACATTCTAATCTCTTGCCCGCGCTACTCATCCTAGCCCTTCTCCTCCTCATCCAAGCTCCACATCCCCCTCTCTTGCAAGCCCTTCCCGCTCCCCCAGCCTGTCAAGTTTCGTGCCCTCCCTACTCCATTAACATTGCAAGTCTTACTCCACCAACCGTGCTTTCATTCCCCAAGCAATGCTTGCTCTTAGGGGACTTATTTGCCTTCTACAGCTGTATGCAGCAGAGCATAGCAGACCATAGCTCGTCGTTCAGCGATATATTGAGTTAGCTAACTTAGAGACTTAGAGAAGCCTGACCGATCCACGAGCCCTGGCGCGCAAGCCGACGGGTCCGAAATTGGGGCACAAGTGCCAGCGACGGCGGCGGCGGCGACGGGTGGTAACGAGCTGGCCGGGGCGGCATTAGAGCCGCGGCTCTTTCTCCCTTCCTCCTGGCCTCGCCTCTCGTCCTCGCTCGTCGCGCGTCCCTCCTTTCCTCCCTTCGTGCGTCCTCTCTTCCCTGCAGCGCCACATAATCGTTTGCATTCGTACCCCTATCCATCTGGCGCCCTTGCTTGGGCTCTGCGGTTCCCCCCCCCCTCCCTTCGGCTTTTGGCTGGGGCGTTGGGGCCAGACCCTTCGACGCCCGTCGCCGCCGTCCGTCGCCGCCGCAGCGCTTTGCATTGCGCTGCATTTCCTTGCATCGTATTGTCATGCTTTGCATTGCTTTGCAGAACAACGAATTGCTTTGTAGTGCTTTTCATTCGTTTGCGTTGATTTGCATCGCCTTGCGTCGCTGTGCATTGCGTTGTAATAACGGGTTAGTTTGCATTGGGTTGCGTTTATTTGTGCTATTGTGCACGCTTCGCATTGCAATGCACTGCGTTGCACTTCGTTGCACTGCGTTGCATTGCTTTTGCATTGCTTTGCATTTATCTGCATTGCTCCGCATTGCAATTAATTGTTTTGCATTGCTTTGTAATGCGTTGCTTGGCATGGCTTTTCATTACTTTACATTTCTTTGCACCGCATAGATGTTACCACATGGATTGCACCACTTCGATTGTACCACCTAGATTGCTAGAAGCCACTGCTCGGGGTCTACGCTGTCTAACAGACGGTGCCATGCCCTCCACACCCCGCCATTCTCTTACAAGCAATCCCCACTCCCCAACCTCCAGGGAAGCCCCGCCAGACCTCGGCAGGTATCCGGGTATCGTGTTTCCTCCACCGGGTTTCATGCCATCCCCCCACTCCACCAGCCACGCCAATGCCGCCTGGCCTCCTAAAATGCACCGCCGAACCGCGGCAAGCACCTGGATACAGTGTTATTTCTCAAACTTCGTGCCCCCTCCACTCCAGAAGCATCGCAGGGGTCGCTTGGACCTCCAGAGAGATACCGCCAGACCGCGGCCAACGGACTCAGGCCTCTGCTCGCATCAGGTCTGAGTGGAGGAATGCTGCCACAAGCAGGCTGCCCATCGTGCAAGCTGCCCACATTCGGGCAGCTCGTGATGGTCGCTCCTCTCCCTAGACCCTAGACCAAGAGGAACGTCCATTTCCTGTCAGGGATCCCACGGCCCAGAATATTCCAATGCTTCCTACAGCAGTGGGCGTAGATCCATGCGAATATTAATGGTGGTTTGAATCACGTTCGTCTTTGCGCATGGCGGTGCCCCAGGCCCCGAAGAGGCTTCCCCGACTCAGCGCAAATAATACATACAACGCTGCAGCCGTGCCGCACTGAGCAGGTTGCCGCTTCGCAGCTTCCCCTGGCGCTGTGACGGATATGCGCGGCAACCCAACTGGATAAAGAGAATACAACCCGAGGGGAGGTCAATGGCAAGCGCCACGGTGGCGTCCGAAAGAGGATCCGTGACCAGATGGAGATTTGAAGGTTACAGCTAAGATGCCGGCTGCAAGTCGGCGTGGACGATGCACGTAGGTTCCACACAATGCGGGTGAGCGTGGCCATTTAGGCTGAAGGTGTTTTGGCGATGGCGATAGGATTGCTCGTGTGCACCAGTGATCGCGACTGGCGGCTCACGAGATAACTGAAACACTATGGCGATTCCTCTAAAACTCACAGCAAGCACCGGGCGTGCGCGAGGCGTGCCTCCGGCGGGAGCGTGGAAACATGTGCCCACGATACTGCGGCGTTCCGAATTATAGACTACTAATTTGGGTGTGGCGAATTCCATGCTGCACTAACTCTGTAGGACAAACGCCAGCATAGTCGACGGGGCAAAAACTGCCCGTTGTCTTCTAACATTGTGCTAACTACTACTACGTACTGCCACTGCAGTGGTTACATAAGACAAATTCTGCTGGCCGGCTAGACGAACAACGAGCACAAGGCGCAGAGATCAA